ATATAGGAGATCATGATGGGGCTGTAATATGTGTAGATGTTATAAAATCATGTATGCTGCAAGACTGGACAGAAAAGCAACTTTTGTTGTTAACGTGTGAAATAGTTTTTAGGCACTGATGCTCAAAGATTTTCGTTTTTAAATTAGTGTCTATCTTTTTGTTTCACTGTGTCTCTGAAAGTAGCCTCTAGTTGAAGATTAAATTTGACAAAAGGGTAATTTCCAGACAGGGTTTTGTTTCTGGATGACAGATTTACATAAATATTTGTGTGCTTTGACACTTCTTGTCTATCCATCTGCTGAAAATCCAAATGATGATAAACTGGTTGTCCTTATGCTATAGTGACCCAGTGCTCTGCTTGTTAGTGTGAGAGAGAATGGTTGCTGGTGACCAGTTTTCATTTCTTGACTCCATTCTAATTGTTATTTCCTTTAGTGATCTTGAATCTTATGAAGAAGTTTGAAAGCATTTTTGGTTTATTGTAATTTAGTTTCTAAAGAGCCGCTTCTGAAACAGCAGACAGGAGACACCTAGGTTAAAAGTCATTGGCTTGGCAAGTGAAGCTTTAGTAGCTGCTAAGTTCAAAAGACTCGCTGGTGTGTACATGATGAAAGCACATTAAGTTTGGGTTAGTAATTTGTTTGTCAAGTGTTGTAATCTGTGGTCTTTTCTGAATGGCATTTAGCTCAGGGATGCTTTGAGTGTGTACAGTGATCCTACATAAGTAGCTGCAATAGTTAACTACAGTGATTGTTTAAAAAGCTTGCACCTGTTTCTGGCTTCAATTGTGAGGTCTGTTTGTGGTTCTTGCTGGGAAAAACAGTCTAATCATAGATTATTTTAGTAAAATTGCTTGTTTTAAAGTCACTACTGCTGTAGTTTCATGATACTTGAACCTTTGTCTTGAGACTTTAGAATAAGCTCTTGGGGTGACTAGAAGGAAGCAGCAGCTTTCTGTTAGGTAAGGTTTTTGAAGATTTACTCAAAATACTCTATATTTTAAGAGTTTGCTTATGTTGCCTAGAAGTGGGGTGAGGTGGGTAGTTGGATAGGGAAACTGTTTGACACGTTTTAGTGTATGTGTTTATGCTGGGATTCTTTCCAGTTTTGTATTTTTAGATTGTTTCTGAGGTATCTTCTCTTTAACTCTGAGCATTTGAATGTAGTGCTGTCTACATGCATTGAACTGTTGCTGACACTTTTTCTTATGCTAGATGGGGAGCTGGTTGGTGTTTGGGTGTGACTTGACAGGGGGTTGTCAGCTGGTCACACATTTCCAATCTTCTCATATTCTTAACTTTATTCTGTATTTTCACTTAGTTCTTGTTGCTTAAGAACTCAAGAAGTGTGTGGTATTGGAATTTAGGGATGTGATTTTTTTTTTTTTCTTCCATTGGGGTCATATACTTGAATATATTTAGTAAAATATGTCTTCAGTGGGAATGTAGAATGACATTTCTTGTAGCTCATGCTGTCCGTCATTGTTAATTGCATACAGAATATCTGTCTGCAGAAGAAGCTCTTGAACTATCTCCTATAAACTCCCTCAAATACCTCTTGACCTTTCTCTTCATCTTACTGTTTTCTTATGTTTGTCTCAAAATGTCATTTCCTGAAAGACTTGGAGCTGATCATGCAGTCAGTGCTAGAATTTATCTCTGTTGGTCTCTGTGTATTTTCTTCAAACACTTAGGTATTCTACTGAGTGACTGAAGGGAAGCAGACTGTCATTCAGACTTCCTTAATGACTCTAATTGGATTATAGTGCTGTGGAAATCAACAGCTTTTGTATGTTTATATAGTGGTTCCTGCAGTGTAAACAAGACATGAATTCAAATCTTGTTTTCTAATTTATGGCTGTTTCAGGCAGTTTGAATCCAGAAACAGATGAAGTTGGTAGAGTGACAGAGCTTTTAGTATTATTGGTAGCACCTGGGACTGAAAATTTAATGGAAAGGTGAAGGCAAAATCTCCATGGCATTTCATCTTGATGGTACAAAATCGTGAAGGTGCACAAAGCACATCACCAGTGACTCATTTTAGTGAGTCAGACTCACTATAACTACTCAAACATCATTGATCTTTTTCACACAGGGGGATTGTATTTGGGGACGTGTTCTTACCAAAACCTTTTATGTTTATGAATAAAGCACACTCCTTGTAAAGCATCCTCTTCAGATTAGGTTAATGTGGATATACCTTGAGTATCTTTTTATTAAGGTCTGAGATACGTTGTTACTCTGTTTTTCTAAAAATTCAGGTTTTTTTCAGTGAAGGTTGATCCTTTGCAAAAGGATTTTCTGTATTTTTAAATGAAATTTTAGTAGATCCTAGTAGAAGGTAAAGGCTCTTACTTGCCCCCAGAAACCGTGTTTCGAAAATGAGAAATGTACCTCCAAAATACATTATCCCCACACTGAAGTATTTTCATTCTTAAATGTTCAGTAACATTTCCTATTTCTTGTTCTGTGTAAGCCCTTTCTTTGGCTCGTGTACAGTGTGCTGTCTCTTGGTGAGACCATGACTGTGGGGAATGATGTCTCATTCTGGTGACCTCATTCTCTCTAGCTGCATCTTACGCAGAGCCTTCTGCTAGCCTTAGAAAAGCTTTCCAGACTACAGACACATGATTTCAAATGTTTCAGGTGATAGAAGTTTTCAGCTGCTTTTGTTATTGAATTGAGAGCATTGCTGCCACAATAGAATGTGAGTAACTTTTACAGGAATACAAGAAAGTTATTTTCCTTCATAAGTGGGTCATAGTAGAAGTAAAAGTTAACATAAATGGTATTGTATTTGCTCTTTCTTAGAATAGTATTTTGACACTTTGAAAGTTGTTTGAGTGCTTTTCAGTCAGTGCATCTGTTAAAACATTGCGCTGTATTTCTGGTACTGAAAGAGTGAAAGATAATAGTGCTGCTATAATTTTTCTGAAATGCAAACCTAATAGCATTTAAGAAAAATATAAGAGCTAATAAAACACACTGTGTAACATAGCATTTTGGTGAGAGCATTTATAGTATAGTACCATGGTTTTTCCCTCTGCATGCTATGCACATTGGCCTGTCAACTGGGAAGTTACTTTCTGGATGACAGCAAGTGATGTCACACTTCATAAAATTGAGAATAAAGATGTGTGCCTAAAAAAAAGTCTCTATTTGAGCCCAAGCTAAAAACTGGAGCAAAGAGGTGTATAAAGTTTAACTTAAATGTACTGGATGTTTGTGAGATAGCAGTCAGAGCTAGTGCACTGGGGGTTTGAACTGTGAATTTCTGGAACTAAAAGCTTGGTTTATTCCACTTTGACTTAAAATCAGCTCTCCTTGGGCAGTGGACTGTAACAGTCATAAACCTTGCATAAAATGGACCAGTCTGGTGGGATTGCTCTGATATTATTGCATCATAACTCCATGCGAGTTATTCGTTACTAGCTTCGTTCTTTGACCTTTTTTTTTTTTTGTAAAAGTGAAACAGTGCTCTATAATAGACATGGCATGATCTTGATCTGTAAGATTAATAAAAACAATTCTGTTGTACTTGTGAAGCTCAGATCTATCCATATCTCCAAATATTCCAACATGGCACCCCAGTGAGTTATTTGAAATTTGTTTGAATCTCTGGAAATGTTATCAGTTTATCATAGACTTTGTCAAATATTTTTAATAAGCTTTATAGGAAAAATAACCGTTTTAAGCATGTAGTTATATTCATATATTTGTTGTCAGTGTTTGGTTAACAGTTGTCAATCTTGTGTTTAGTTTTTCTGTAAACTTTGGATTGGCTTTTAATTGCAGTTAGACGAAGTGATCACTGTAGGTCCCCTCCAGCTGAAGTATTCTTTTCTAATACATCACAAACAGTGGTTGCTCCTTTTCATTGGTGTGTTTTCAGTATACTGGAAAAAACACACAGCATGGGTCAAGTGGCTAAGTTCCTCCTAAAAGTAATTGGGCTAAGCTTGGTATTTCATGGCTTGCTGCTTGCCTTCTTTCCTTTCCGTTATCCACTGTCTACTCTTTAACACTCTTTAAGGAAAAAGTATTTTTCCCCCGGGGAGGAAATGTGGAGGGAGCGTGTTGTTTTTGTAACTAGGTCTTTAAAATCTCTACAACTATTTTGGCTTACATTAGTCATTGAGCAACTCTAAAGAAGCTTGAAAAAGTTGTGTTATATGGAGAGTCTGGTCATATCTCTCTGATGCCTTGAAATGTTTTTAGGACTGGAAAGGGCCATTTTTGTCTGTTGTTACAATAACCTCTTGTTTGACACAGACTTTAAAACAGTGCTCTCGTTTTGTGTGTGAAACTCAAAACTTCTGATCGTTTAAGGTCATGATGGAAGACTGTTCTTAGAACAGAGTTGATGTTGGTTTCGTTGATAGTGAGTTTCAAAACCATGCCTTACTGAAAGCTCTTAAGTTCAAGAATGGCTTTAGAATTAATTCTGCATTTAATTTGTGAGGTTTATGGAATTCAAGACAAAACATGCTGTGATGGGGTTTGCAGCTCTTGCAGCTCACACCTCATTGTTAATGAAAGGAGTGGCTGCGATTTTTTTTGTAGTGGTTACTTCAGATCTTGAAAAGTTGTGTATGATGTATTTATTGTGCAGAAGGTGAGGAAGAGCCCTTCTGATTTTTTTTTTAAGCTGAATGATTGCTAGATGTGCCTCTGCACGCATCCTGTAGCTGAAGTACAGGTTGTAGGGCTTTTCCGCTCTAAATTGTTCAGTAGACGAGCAAAGGCACTGGATATAATCTAGAAAACCCCTATGGTACATTTTTCTACAATAGTGTTGCTGATGTGTATGCTGTTCTTTTGGAGTTCATGGCAAAAATAGTGCAGGGCTGTGAAGTAATACAATTCAATAAAATTGTCTGAATCGTTAGAATTGCTTAGAATAAACCAGCTTGAGAGGTGGCTTCTGTTTTGAAGCTGCAGTTTGTTTATAAGCAATGTATTTTTAGTAATGAGATGCTGACTAGCATTTGTGTCTCTAGAGAAGAAGAGGAACGTCTGAGAAATAAGATCCGAGCAGATCATGAAAAGGCTCTGGAAGAGGCTAAGGAGAAATTGAAGAAATCACGTGATGAGATTCGAGCTGAGATTCAGACAGAAAAGAACAAAGTAGTGCAAGAGTTGAAAAAGAAAGACAGCAAGCCACTGCCCCCTGTTCCTTTACCAAATCTTATAGGGATAAACAGTGGAGAACCAACAGACCCGGATATCCGAGAGAAGAGGAACAAAATTAAAGAGGTAAAGATTCTGATGATGTGGTCCTACCCATTCTTGTATCTGATAGCATTTGTGTATATGGCATTTAGTTGCTGTTATGGTTTATATTAAAAAGAAGAGAAAAACAGATCTACAAATCTTTTTCATAAACAGTAAGCTAAAAGTGCACATCAAGTGTTAATGAACATTAGCGTTATTGCATGTTTTTTCCTGGTGTTGGGGTGTTAATATTTCACTGGATGACAACTTAAAATTGTTTTAAGGATTTCTTCAACTTAGTGGTGTGGGTGTAAAGTGAGTTTGTCATTAACACATGGAACAGCAAGAAGTGCATCTTTAAAGCAGAGCCTGACTTTGTCAGGTTCCTTTCAAAGAATGGGATATGTTAGTGTGTCACGAGATATTTTTAAATGTTTATAAAGTGTATTGAAAAGATAGGAAAAATTACCTGCTGCTAAAATTTGCACATTACCAAATTATCACATGCTTTTCAAAATATGTTTTCAATGAGTCTAAAAAATTAGCAGTCATTTAAGTAGATTGCCTCATTTACCTGTAAAGCATTCAAACTAAGATGCTGGCTTAGGCTTTGGGTTCTGTGGCAGCCTATGCTATAAGAATTGCTGTTTCTGGTCTTATCTTTTTGACCTCTGGTTGGCCATGAGATTTATTGCCCTCTTTTGCCCTGGCAATGCTAACTTCCTATTATTATCACCAAGTATTTTTGAGTCTGTACTTCTAACCAGTATGGCAGAAACATTGTAGGGCCTTATTTTTCTTTTTTTTTTTTTCTCTCCCTGCAATCTGATGCCTAAAAATTGTGTTAGCAAGCAGTAATGTTTCAGACTAGAGGTAGACAAGCACAGGTTCTGTAATTAAAGAACATCCAGGACCGCAACACTTAGTAGTTACAGCAGCTAAATCTTCTTTTAAATTGTCATCTGAGTTTAGTTAGCTCATAAAACCAAAACAAACAAACAAACAAAACAACCAAAAAACTCTGTGTGCTATGCTGTGGGTAGATCACCCAAACTGGAATTTTACTTAATGATCACAGAATCACAGAATGTTA